CCCGCGGGGTGCGGCAGCGCCATGACACCGACTCAGAGGACTGAGAGGGAGCCTGGGGTTGTTTCAGGGAGATCTTCCAGAGATTTATATTTTTTAAGGTGATTAAATTAAAAACGCCGCAGCCCCGCGGGCGCAGGGGCAGAGTCTGGCAAAGGGCATTAAGGTTTTGGTGCCAGCAGCCCTTCCCTGCCCGCCCAGGGGCAGCACCAGCGGGTGAGGGGGGCAGCAGGGCCTGGGCACCCTTCTCCTCACTCCCTAAAATCCATCTGGGCAGGACTGAGCACAGAGGATGCTCTGGGTGGGGACTGGTGCTGGGGTGGTTCTGGCTGTGGTGCTGAAAATGCTGTGGATACCTCGTGTTTATGTACAGAGACTTTGGAAGAGATGATTATTATTATTATTACTATTATTATTATGGGGTTTTGTCTTCTTTCTCTGCCCTTGAGTGCTTGCCAGTACAGTGGCTGAAGAGTTTCTTTCCTTAAAAATTCCTTAAACTTATCAGCTGCATGGATGGAGGCTTAAAGCTCATCTAATTCCAGTTCCCCTGGGCCAGGCTGCTCCAAGCCCTGCCCAACCTGGCCTTGGACACCTAAATAATTCCTAATCTTATGAGGAGAAAGTGGATGGGACCAGGGCCCCTGGCCTCATCCACCCACCCCAGGGAGCAGCAAACTCCATTCCCATCCAGGATTCAAACCCTCAGCACATGATTATTTATGTTCTTGGCATACTGAAAGAAGGGAATTTTACACCAATAAATAGAAATATTGATCTGAATGGAAAGGGGGTGTCCCGGGCGGCTCCAGAGCATCGCTGGCTGTGGCGTGGCTGTGCCAAGCACAAGGGCCTCATTTGTGTAATTAATGATGCAATTGAAGACAGGGAGGGTTTGTGTGTCTTGGTGGACAAAAGCCCAGTGGGACCGTGCTCAGGAGCTGACAAAGCCCTTCTGTCCCAACAGGAGCAGAGGGAGATGCTGTGGGGCCGTCACAGCCTTCAGTGATCCCCGCCCCAAGATGATTTTTGGGGTTGACAGGCTCTTGGCACGAGGGCTGCTCCTCGTGCTCTGAGCAGCTGCAGCTCCAGATCCATCCCAGGGATGCCCTGAGCCCATGCACTCCCTGGCCAGGGGCTCTGCCGCTGCTCACCGGGCTGAGCTTGGATTTTGGGATCCAAACTGTGGCTGGAGCCTGCTGGGAACATTCCAGAGCAGGACTGGACCTAACGGGAACTGGGCAGCATGTTGAAAAGGGAGCCAGGGGAGAGTGAAAACAGCACAGAGAAAAAATACCACAAATCCCAGTGTCCTGCTGCCTCCATGGGCTCCCAGTTCCCATCTTCACATCCCAAAGTTTGGGATGGATGCTGTGGCAGGCCTGGGCTCTGGCAGGATGAGCTGCACCCACAGCTCCTCAGCAGATGGAGAGTGCTGGGCAGAGGGGCCAGGGCACTGCTGGCCCAGCTCAGTTCAGCTCTCCTGGGCTTTCTCCTGCTCTCCCCCCTTCCTGTTTCACACTCCAAGATCTGAGGAAATCAGGTTTAGAAACATGGGAAGCCAAAACTGAAGGGGACAGGGATAAAGGAGCCCAGCCCCATCCCTGCTCACCCCAAAACCTGCCTGTCCAGCTGCTGGGTGGCCAAAATCCAGGCTGAGAGCCGGGAACAGAGCAAAGCCTGTGCTGCCCAGAGCAGAGGGCAGAGCTCCCACAGCTGTACTGATAACATCACCATATTACTCATTTTCCACAGCAAATTCTGCATGCAGAAAAGAAGCATCCTAACCCAGCTTCCCCTTCAAGTT